ATTTTCCATATTTTCCGGTTCAAAGTGCACCGGGTGCAACGAGCTGAGCTGACACAACATTGTCACGTACAAGACTGCGCGTGTCATGTGCTGGCTTGCCGGTCCCGATGTCGTACTCACCGGTGCTACAAGCGCTGTTTGAACGCACCATTCACACCTTTATGCACTCCTCAACTGCTGTCTATTGAAGCCTCTATGCCTACTGCTGTGCGGGCGCAGCTCCCCGTGGGGCCTTACAGATGCTCGTCACAAGTGTAATCAGTCGACCAATTTTCCACATGCACGTGCTTCGCGATCATCACATATTGACAGCACCGGACCCAGGCAACACTACAGCAGTAGTTATCGCTTTGTTTTAGTAATTCATCCTTGTGTATTCTCTGCATATACTGCTGCCGTGATGCGTTGCTGCGGGCCGATCACACTCCCTGCACGAATACAATGCCCCTGTAGGCGCTCTCACAAGTGTTATCAGTTGACCAAATTTCCACATGCACGTGCTTCGCCATCATCACATATTGACAGTACCGGACCCAGGCGATACTACAGCAGTAGATATGGTTTTGTTTTAGTACTTTATCTTCGTGTGCGTTCTGCATAAACTCTGCTACAGTAGTATAGTGCCCTGCTGCGAGCCAAAAACACTCCCTGCACGAATACAAATACAGTCGACATCTGTGCTCGCGATCCCCTTCAACTGATCCAAACATCCATGCACCACGCCGCGTGTTACTTCATCTGCGTATACTTGAAAAATTACCGGCTGCACTGCCAATACGCACATCAACATATACCGGGGGCGGGATCAGATAGGGCTCGCTGTGCTTTGCATTGATCTTTTCCTGTCAAACTTTGCTGCTGCTGTCGTATGAAAATGTTTCACATGAACTGACGCCTCGACCCGAAATCCCAATTTCACACAGGAAAATCGCGCAACAGCCTCGGCAAGCTAAACGCCGTGGAGGAAAGGAATTTCAAGCGACAGCGGCTGGCAGGTTCGGACGCGACCCGCGCAGGCTTCACGCTAGAGTCGACGCTTTCCAGGCGCGAGAGACGTTCGGTGGCCCGGGGCTGGAGCAAGAGGGAAGGAAAGCTTCGACGGGACTTCGACAAGCGGGGCTCCTATCTCGGCAACCGGATCTACGAGCTGACATCGCAGATCGGTAGCAACGAGCAGCACATTCGCCGTATTGAGGATGCTATGGCGGAGCAAGACCTCGCGAGTCTTCTCGCCCCTCTCCCCCCCTCGCCCATCGAAGGAAATGCAGAAAATCAACCTCAGGACCAAATCTTAGGACCCACGGACAAGAAAATCTACCAGTCGATGACAGGAAGCATCTTCTCCCTGGCCCAGTGCACGCGATTCGACCTCTCCTACGCTGCCCTACAACTTTCCAAGGCCTGCAGCAACCCAGCGCAGGTGAGCATGACAGCAGCCAAGCACGTGCTGCGATACCTTCGGGGTAATCCAGTTCTTCCTATCGTCTACAAGAGAGGACAGTTTCGGCTAGCGGCGTTTACGGATTCATCCTTCGGAGCAAACCCCGACAACGGAAGATCTACCACGGGATATCTCTTCTTTCTGGCTGGAGGACTCATCAGCTACGGTGCGAAGACTCAAACTCTAACCGCGCAAAGCACGGTCGAAGCCGAGATTCAAGCACTTAGCTACTCAGCCAGAGAGGCGGTCTACATCTCAAATTTTATGACGGAACTCAACTTCAAGACCTTCGGATCGGTTCCCATCAACAGCGACAGCACCGGAGCGCTGACAGTGGCCGGGAATGCCATGCACTCTCAACGCACGAAGCACGTGGCCCTGAGGTACTTTTTCATCCGGGGGCTAGTACTACGAGGACAAATCACTCTTCACCACCGGCCCAGCGAGCACCAGTTGGCTGATATCGCGACCAAGTACCTCCCAAAGCGCCGATTCGCCTCCAGCATTCACCAGATCAAGGACTTGTCGTCTTGATCGAAGATCTGTGAAGCTTACTTCCATACCCGCCATACCAGAAGGATATTATTTTCGATACGATGCCAACGGAGGGGTCGAGGTAGACAAGCATATGGTGATGCCGTCGACCATTGTGAATTGGTTGCTTGATCGAGGGGTCGTGTCAGGAAAATCGGAGACCACCAGTAGTCGGACACGGTGTGACCTTTGAAAACGATTGCAGCAACTAGTCTGCGCAGCAGTAGAAAATAATCCATCTCTCCTTGGCATGTATTCTCTTGTTCTAGAAATATTCCGGAAGCATGCTAGGTCAAGGTTGACCGGGACATCTATGTAGAACGTGTGTAGCTTTTGGAAGCCTTCTGGAAACTTCTGGTTCCTTCTGTAGCTTCTGGAAGCCTTTCTGAAAACTTCTGGTTCCTTCTGTAAGCTTCTGGAAGCGTTCTAGATCTAGGTTGCAGTTGATACTCTTCTAGAACGTAGGAGGGCTTCCAGAAATCATTCTGGAAGCATTCTGGATCTTTCGTGTGATTGGCTTATTTGTCCGGTATTCGAGAAGAAGAGTGGTGCAGCCCTAAGTTCGCCCACTCCTCTCTCTCCTCTTCAGTACCAGCAACATCTGACTCGGGAGTCAGCAGCTAATAAAAACATCTTCATATTTCCATTCCAAGTCTCTCGCGGTTGGAGACGCACAGAGTGTGAACTTCTGAGGTAGGCTGCACAGCCTCCTGGCATCTGCAGCATCGTACTGCTGCTAGGGCACAGCGAAAGATCGCTGACAAAAATACCCGCGCTTGCCTCTGGCCGAAACGACGGTGATTGGCCTATCTATACACACACGTTACAACCAATAACACTTCGTGTAGCTTCCCCACAGCATCTGTGGCGGACGAGAAGCATACCCAACTAGCCTATGAAACAAAAAATAAAGGATAAATATCAGGACAGCAAAAATCTTCCCCTGAAAATGCGTACAGAAAATACTGGGAGTCATCGAACAATTTTGAAATGTAGTCGTGCTCCATGGATTGACTATTCTCTACCACTTGTACCCCAGCCGACGAAACCATGTGGTTCCCCTCACTCCCCCCTCCCTCCCCCCTCAAGATACAACACGCGCTTCGTACCGCCCCTCGTTGAATCATCCTGCCGCGACACAGATTTTAGACGCCGTTCGCCCAGATGAACAACCATCCAACAAAGTTTTCTTCCCCTCCACCACCAACAAAACATGAGGATGAACCCTTCAGCGTTTGGAATGGATCAAGCACAATCGATGGACACCAGGCACGGATGAACTTGCTGGTAAGCGTCGAACTACCGCTAACTCAACAGAAAACACTTGAGGACCTCTCCTCTATCCCCCACGCCCAGGCTCCTCTACGGGTTGTTCGGAGCTCTTGTTCACTTCCGCGAGGTACGCGAGGTAGGAGACAAACTGGACGAGAAAGTCCATGTCTTCCCCTGCTCGTAGGGTCGACCGCCAGGAGGTATTCGATATACTCGTAGCATAGTATGATGGTTGAGATGTTATGTACGTACGTACGAATATTGCAGTGATGAGATGCGGAGGAACAGGAACTTTCTACATATTTTCCTTGGTTGTGAGAGGCTTTTGGTGAGGATTCAGAGAGATTCGTTGTGTGAGAAAGCATGAAGGCGTGACTCGATACCGTGATGGTTTGACGAGCACGAGCACGCCCCCGACAAATACAACACGACAACACGGATACAACACGTCAGTACGACTTTACCTACCCCTACGGCCCGTCATGGCCGAGCTGCTCTACACTCCCATCATGACACGTCGTCTACGAGATTCGCGTCGAGCTTAGTTTGGAGTATCGCTTTGCGGCGATCAGCAGCTGTCACCGATGTCCAGCGCCGACCAAGAACGAGGCGCCCGTCACGCAGAAGACGAGGACGCCCGCATCAACGAGTTGGTGGAGATGAGGGTACAACAACGACTGGCCGACATAAGGCGGCAACAAGACGAGGAGGTGCACAAGACAGAGAACGTCCGGACCGGAAGCGAGCACGAGACACGCCACCAGCAACAAGCGGGGCGGCCATCGGCGAACCCGGCCGTAGGTGACATCGCCCGCACTCTCGCAGACGCCATGTCCAGCCGAATGCAGATATCACCACGGGACAGCGGTAGAGTACCCAGTACAGGAGGAAGTATTCGCATGACAGAGGTTAAGCGCCTAGCGCCTTGGGATGGGGTTTTTAATAGTTGTGCAAAAAGTGTGGCCCGTTAGGGTACGGTACGCTTTTTGTCTTGTTTTGCAAAAAAAAGCTGTTTAGAGGGATCGTGTGTGGAGTATGTGCGCACGCGAAAAATAATAATTTTCAGGCACAGGGGCGTGAAAATTACGCCATGGCTGTCTGTCTGGTGTCTGTCTGTCTGCGCGCCCTAAATACCCAGCAGACTCGAGCCCATTCCACCATCTCGGCACCAAATTGCAAACTAAAACTTGCGCACAACAAGTAATATTTTGCCCGAGCTGTCCCAACCGCTACCTTTGCAATCCGTGGTCGGTGTCTCGAGATAGGACACCGTTTGTGCAAATATATGTGTCACATGGACGCATCCCCGGGAGGCGTTATTTTTGTTTTTTGTTTGGCAACAAACTACGTACACCAAGCAAGAAACCACGACGCACTGCCATGCTGCAAACACTGCTGCTGCTACTGGCAAGACACGCACTACACAGAGACAGGGAACATGGACAAGGGGGGTGGGACACACACACATACTGCTGTTGGCGACGGCGGAGGAAGCGGGGAACGTTTGGTTGGTCTGGGGTACATCGCTGATGATGTTGTTGTTGTTGTTTCCGTTGGTTGTTAACGGTTGTTCAACGCTGCCGGCCTTTTTTTCGCCTTTTTTTCTCTGGAGAGAGAGGGAGTCCCACCAACCAGCGTGTGTTGCACACACCACACA